TTGCCTCAGCCTCCCAAGTAGCTGGGACTACAGGCACCTGTCACAATGCCCAGCTAGTTTTTAGAGATGGGGTCTTGCTCTTGATCAAGTTGTTCTGGAACTCCAGACCTCAGGCAATCTACCTTCCTTGGCCTCCCAGAGTGCTAAAATTATAGGTGTGAGCCACTGTGCCCGGCCTACAGAACTAATCTTAATTTACATCATCTTAGTCTATTGTAAACTCACCTTTGTACACTAGCATTCATTTAAGCAATAATTACACAAGAATATTCACCCTGGAACTTTCGCTCAACAAAGTTGTCCTAGTATATTAGAGGACAAAGTTAAGGATTTATTTTTCTTCTTGACTTTCTAAATATTAAGCCATTATAATCTTTGTATCTCCTTTCTGGTAATAAATTTTTTTTTTTTTTTTTTGGCCAGGGCTGGGTTTGAACCTGCCACCCTTGGCATATGGGGCCGGCGCCCTACTCCTTGAGCCACAGACGCCACCCTGGTAATAAAATTTTTTACATATATTTCATGTAGTCTGAGAACAGACTAGGTCATTCAGTTAGATTGTTATCCAGGACTCGACACCTGTAGCTCAAGCAGCTAAAGCGCCAGCCACATACATCAGAGCCCGGGCCTGCCAAACAATGACAACTACAACCAAAAAATAGCTGGGCGTTGTGGCGGGCGCCTGTAGTCCTCGCTACTTGGGAGGCTGAGGCAAGAGTATTGAGGTTGCTGTGAGCTGTGATACCATGGCACTCTACCCAGGGCAACAGCTTGAGGCTCTGGTCTAAAAAAAAAAAAAGAAATGTTATCCAGGCAACTGTTACCTTGAAAGCTTTTATAAAGTGTGATGAATGTACCATGGGATTTCTTTAGATTTTCTGTTTTCAATACTAAAAGGTTTACTGTTTCCCTTTCTAGTACAATCATGTTTGAAATTAAGAAGATCTGCTGCATCGGTGCGGGCTACGTTGGAGGACCCACATGTAGTGTCATTGCTCACATGTGCCCTAAAATCAGGGTGACAGTTGTTGATGTCAACGAGTCAAGAATCAATGCATGGAATTCTTCTACACTTCCTATTTATGAGGTAAACATATTACACAACTCTTTGTTCTTATGTTGTTTTTTTTTCTTACTATATTAAATAATTTATATGCACTGTAAATGAGAAAAAGCTATGATTGCAACTGATAAGAAATAATATGAAAAAATCTGGATATAAAATGTTATGGACATTAAAATTATAATTATGTCAAGTACATCAAGGAATAGTGACCAGAATGAAGTATATCAGGATATTAATAATGGTTGTATTCATATGGTAAGATTATGAGTATTTTTTCTACTCTGTTTTCTAATTTTATCTGTTAGTGTCATTGCTATTTATCATAAAGTTAAAAAGGGGTATTCTGTAAAAACAAAACTTGTTTGTAATATTAATGTAAGTTCAATATGTTTTGGATTTTATTGTACTTAAGTACACTTTAAATAGATAAATGGCATGTTTCTTTTTTTTTTTTGCAGTTTTATGGCTGGGGCTGGGTTTGAACCCGCTACCTCTGGCATATGGGGCTGGCGCCCTACTCACTGGGATTTTATTGTACTTAAGTACACTTTAAATAGATAAATGGCATGTTTCTTTTTTTTTTTTTTGCAGTTTTATGGCTGGGGCTGGGTTTGAACCTACCACTTCCAGCATATGGGGCTGGCGCTCTGCTCCTTGAGCCACAGGCGCCAGCATGTTTCATATTTAGAGTTTAGTACCACAAATTTGTTTAATTGGAATTTTAAAATTTCTGTGAATTTAGAGAAATTATAGTTAGGAAAATATGTTTCTAACTATTTTACTGAGCTATCTGGGTCCCATTTTTCAAATTATTTCACTGTACAATGAGTTCATGATACTATGCTTTTGAAACCCACTTGGAAAGCATTTGAAAATTTGTTTTTGTTTTTTTGTTGTTGTTGTTGAAGTTTGGCCAGGGCTGGGTTCGAACCCGCTACTCTCAGTATATGGGGCCAGCACCCTACCCACTGAGCCACAGGTGCCACCCCATTTGAAAATTTGATGTAGCATTTTCTGTCTCTCATTGAATATTCCTTCTTATTTTCCCAGAAAAGCTTGGTCTTTGATAGGATTGTTGTCAACTATAGTCTTTGGCTGTGTTAGACCTTTAGAAGGAAGGTCTTAATCCAGTTTTATCTATAAGATAAGGCTACCTGGTATTTATGGTCATATGAGATATAGGAATTTATTAAAAGTACCAACAGAGTAACAATCACTCAGTATTACAGATTTATTCATAACTGAATCAGATTTAGCTTCAACCCTCTGTGTAGGTGGCTTTACCCTTTTACCTTCATACTTTGGTTTGTGCTTGACTCTTCTACGAGGTGATCTGCCTATAATACTTCCATGCTAGATTGCTGTGAACTATGACTCTATGCACTCTACCAGGAGCAAGAAAGTGAGACTTTATCTCAAAATAAATAAATACAAAAATAAAATATTTCCATGCTATAGAATTTTGTTACCTTTTACAATAGTGTACATTGCTACTATACATGTATTTGGTTTTGGAAAGTTTTTCTTTCAACATTTTGGAAAGGTAACTTGAAGAGTATTATAATACCAGTATCCTTAGGGGGTGTAAGTCACTTGAAACCCTGTAAGCCATAGTTATATCCAGACAGTCAATAATTAATTCATTTTCTCAGCATTTTAGTCAAGTTTTCAAAATTAAAGAACCCTTGGTACCAACCTTATCAAATGAAAAAAATAAATATAAAAAAAGGATACCCATGAGAATAGTTAAAATAATATTACTGACAATAACAAGTGTTGACAAGGATGTAGAGCAGTTATAATTTTATGCACTGAGCCCCACCCCCAGAGGTCACCCTGGAATGGTGGTCTGCTCCCCGCAGCCACCACTAACTCTGCTGCAAGAAAGGGTCAGGTTGGGGCTGCGGAAGCCCAGACTTACCCAGTTGGAAGCAGGCGGAGCTGGGCTGGGTGAGAGGTATGTAGGAATTACCCTTTATGAGGCAAGTGGAATAATGAACTACTTTGTGAGCACTTCAAGAGGATGACAAAAATGATTATTTTCAGGCCTGGCAAGCAGGGGCTCACATCTATAATCCCAGGACTCTGGGAGGCTGAAGTGAGAGGATCACTTGAGTTTAGGAGTTCCAGACCAGCCTGAGCAAAAGCCAGACCCTCCCTTTACAAAAAATAGAACAGTCAGTTGGGCATTGTCTGAAGTGCTGTAGTCCCAACTATGGCAGAGGGCAGGAGGATCACCTGAATCCCGGGGTTTGAGGTTGCTGGTGAACTAGTTTGATGTCACAGCACTCTAGCTTGGTCAATAGAGTGAGACTCTGTCTCAAGGAAAAAAAAAAGATTATTTTTCTTTACAATTGCTGAGACAACTTGAATGTCTAATTATATAACCAACAGGAAAAAAAGAAAAGAATGTAATTGAGACAGTCACTTAATAGAACTGTTAACAGTATCGGCCGGCCAGGCTTGATAGCTCATGCCTGTAATCCTAGTGCTCTGGGAGGCTGACATGGGCAGATTGCTTAAGCTCACGAGTTCAAAAC